TTAATCTTGAACCTAGCGTTTTAGCATACATTGGGATAAGTCAGAGAGTTTGATTGCATGCCCGTTCAAGGATATCCTCGCTATAATTCATCTTAGAGAACAAAACGAAGAAAAGCACATTCAAACTATCGTAGTATCGACTCGATCCGTGTCTCGACTACAGTGACAGTCTACAGCAATATGTGAATGTTGCTTAGTATCTGTTTGAAATATCTCTACAATCACCTTTCAGTTATGAGCCAATTGATCAGTGATGACTAACACTTGTAATAGCCACAGGTTCATTAAAAACTTCGGAAATCTCTCCCGTCACGTTTATCGTGTCGGCCATTTTGACGTCTTGGACTTGATGTAAATGTATTACGACGCGCTGTCTTTGTGACTGACTTACTGAGGTAGTTCTTAACAGACTTTTCCCATCTAATGAGGATATCATTTGAGTACATCCGTTTACAGAAACTTCAAACGTTGTCCCTGTAGAGCATGTTGAGCATACATAAGCTCATGTCACCTCTCGTTTTGAGGAACTATTTTATTCCGCGATACAGCTGGTTGTTGTATGGCTGTGAGTGTAAACACCAAGTCACACGTACTAAGTATAATTTTGAGTAGATCAAAATCCTTTGGGGGGAAAATAGTGATATAAGAAATTATAAGAACTGACATTCACTTTGTGTGAGTTCATTGGAGTATGAACCTTCATAGAGTGAGGGTCAAACATTGTTCTGACGTTCATACAGTTCTGCCCTCACTCTACGAAGGTTCATACTCCAATGAACTCCCTGCCCCACACCAACCTAGCCCCCGGGGTGTTGATGGGGTCGGACACAGGCCTGCACAGACGCATGGCACCTGGGTAATCGCCTGCTCGTCATGGGTCCGGGTTGTGCATATTCAGTATCCATTTGGGACGTGTGGATGTTTGATGCTGGCTAGATTGTCGCGTCACCTTGCCGGCATGCTGGACATAGCATGAATGGTATTTTAATCATAAGCATAAACAACAAATTTGTAGTTCTCATGGAAACCATGCACGCTCATTGACTATCCAACATCAATAGCATGAACAACTAGCTAGTCACAGCGCATCACATCTCTCTCTCTTTCACAGTGTGAATGTCGTGCCGTGGATGTGTGTGGACGATGTGTGTGGACGATGTGTGTGGACGATGTGTGTTGCATCGATTGATTTTGAACACGTGAATGCACCTCGCCATAGAAGTGGAATTATTTTGAACGCAATGTTAAACCCCTTTTCACCTCACCTCACTACTTTTCAATTATATAAACTTGAAATACTTGAAATACTTGAAATACTCTCTCTCTCTCTCTCTCTCTCTCTCTCTCTCTCTCTCTCTCTCTCTCTCTCTCTCTCTCTCTCTCTGTATATATAGTTTATGTAACGCGTGACATATCAATAACTCTCTCTCATAAGCCATATGGCTGGGCTTTAGTTTTTACTACAACAACTACTACTACTTCTACGACCACCATAGTTTTATGTTTAAAAATTACATAACTTCATATGCAAAAAACGGTATAGACACCCATAACACACCTTTACATTGTACCTTCAATATCAGTAAGGTGGTGAGGTGAAATGAGTTTTAGCGTCGCGTCCAAGATTATTGCACTTATATAGCGACGTGCATGTGTGTGTGTGGCTGCTTGTACTAGTCCGGACTGATGCCGATTTATAGTGCTAGCGATTTATACTGCTAGCACACTGACATGAATACCCCACTCAGACACAGTATACTGACTCCAAGCCGACCAGTCCTTGTTTTAGCCCCTTAAAGCCGAGCGCCAGACAGGGTAACAACAAGTACCATCTTTTAACGTCTTTTGATATGACGCGGCCGGGGATCGAACCCCGTACCTTCCGCTCTCCGGGCGAACGCTCTACCTCTAGACCACGGAGGCGGCTATTTCAGTAAGGAATAAAATGTCATACGATATAAAACATATGATACATAACACTCTTACACACACAGGTTTTTACACACAGGCAGATTATCTAGTCTTGCTTTTCTCTTGCATTGACAATTATATTTACTTGAATTGGGTCGATGTTTCTGCTGGTGGACTGAAGTCCCCGATTTTCATCCTACTTTTCGTTTGTACCGAGACATTCAAACTGCCCCTATATCCTCCCTGCCGCGTCCTCTCGGCAGGCTGCCGTCGCGTGGCAGCAGTACTGCTGTGCGGCGTCACACAATAAAATACTTACCTTTTATGCAAATTGTGTGAATGACGGATGCTACGGGTAGGGTAGGACATGCTTAACCTTTTCGCGAACGCATCAGTATCCTCACTGACTTTCAGAGGTCCGTTCATTCAAAACTGTTTTGCCCTTGCATTTGTTTCTGCCGCAAATCTAGACTGGCTGCTCGCTTACAATGATAATTTATATTGATCAGGGTTACAGCATTCATGGTCTTAGTTAAGCTTTCAAAATGTTTTATGTCAGACATTGCGGAGGTCATTTCCAAATTCGATGCACCAAAGACTAATACGTCCGACGCAATTCACTATTTTGACTTGAACCATATGTTCCCTTTTGGTATTTTAGGTAAACACTTGACTTGCCTTTGGGTGTATTTGTGAGGGGTACAGCCGGCGGGCCAGGATGCACCAACCTTTACGCGAACACCTGTATCAAGGCTGTTTGACAGTTATTCAGTAAAACCATTCTTATGATATCGTACAACGGACTCTGATTTTAGCTTTCCCGAAAGGGTATTGTCGCTTGTATTTGTATAATATACTCCTATAAACGTAGAGCACCATCCGATTCTTCCCCTACATAGTTAGCCTGTCATGCCCTATTAACTATGCTAATATATCAATATGAAAGAACCGAGTGATCCTTGACTTTTTTTGGTAGTATAACTCGTGATAGCTTGGGTCTTTCTGTCTATATATGTCAGTCTGACACCCTACACCCGCAACACCCAATTGCCACGCTCCACTTCCCCATATCCATTCAAAGCAATAAACTGCTTGACCTACTGTGATAGGAGGGGTCATAGTTGGGCCAGCAACAACACGATCAACACACAGAAGGCAAAAGAGATATTTCAATACACAGCAGACAGGGGAGATATTTCAACTAACAGCAGGTCCAGGAGATATTTCAACACGACAGGTCCAGGAGATATTTCAACACACGGCAGACAGTGGATATATTTCAACATACGGCAGGTCCAGGAGATATTTTAACACACAGCAGGTCCAGGAGATATTTCAACACGACAGGTCCAGGATATATTTCAACATACGGCAGGTCCAGGAGATATTTCAACACACGGTAGGTGCGGGAGATATTTCAACACACAGCAGACAGTGGAGATATTTCAACACACAGCAGACAGAGGAGATATTTCAACACACGGCGGGTCCAGGAGATATTTCAACACACGGCAGGTCCGGGGGATATTTCAACACACAGCAGACAGTGGAGATATTTCAACTAACAGCAGGTCCAGGAGATATTTAAACACATGGCAGGTCTAGGAGATATTTCAACACACGGCAGACAGTGGAGATATTTCAACACACGGCAGGTCCAGGAGATATTTCAACACACAGCAGGTCCAGGAGATATTTAAACACACGGCAGGTCCAGGAGATATTTCAACACACGGCAGACAGTGGAGATATTTCAACACACGGCAGGTCCGGGAGATATTTCAACACACAGCAGACAGAGGAGATATTTCAACACACGGCAGGTCCGGGAGATATTTCAACACACAGCAGACAGTGGAGATATTTCAACACACGGCAGGTCCGGGAGATATTTTAACACACAGCAGACAGTGGAGATATTTCAACACACAGCAGACAGTGGAGATATTTCAACACACAGCAGAGAGTGGAGATATTTCAACACACAGCAGACAGTGGAGATATTTCAACACACGGCAGAGAGTGGAGATATTTCGACACACAGTAGACAGTGGAGATATTTCAACACACGGCAGGTCCGGGGGATATTTCAACACACAGCAGACAGTGGAGATATTTCAACACACAGCAGGTCCGGGAGATATTTCAACACACAGCAGACAGTGGAGATATTTCAACACACAGCAGAGAGTGGAGATATTTCAACACACAGCACACAGAGGAGATATTTTCAAAACACGGCAGGTCCGGGAGATATTTTAACACACAGCAGACAGTGGAGATATTTCAACATACAGCAGACAGGGGAGATATTTCAACACACAGCAGACAGTGGAGATATTTCAAGACACAGCAGACAGTGGAGATATTTCAACACACGGCAGACAGTGGAGATATTTCGACACACAGCAGACAGTGGAGATATTTCAACACACGGCAGGTCCGGGGGATATTTCAACACACAGCAGACAGTGGAGATATTTCAACTAACAGCAGACAGAGGAGATATTTCAACACACAGCAGACAGTGGAGATATTTCAACACACAGCAGAGAGTGGAGATATTTCAACACACAGCACACAGAGGAGATATTTCAAAACACGGCAGGTCCGGGAGATATTTTAACACAAAGCAGACAGTGGAGATATTTCAACACACAGCAGACAGGGGAGATATTTCAACACAAAGCAGACAGTGGAGATATTTCAAAACACAGCAGACAGTGGAGATATTTCAACACACAACAGAGAGTGGAGATATTTCAACACACAGCAGACAGAGGAGATATTTCAACACACAGCAGACAGTGGAGATATTTCAACACACAGCAGAGAGTGAAAATATTTCAACACACAGCAGACAGGATATATTTCAACGTGATGAGATAAGATGAAATGTTGACTGCCAGCTGTATATCGGATCTTCCGTGTCCCCATCAAAGTTTTCTCCGACCAACGACCCTCTTGGTTTGTCGCCAACATTAAGCTTCCACAATCGCTTTAGAAAAACCCATCTTCACTTAACGCCGTGGAGATGAACATTAACGGCATTTACTAAATGACATTAACAAGGATTCACAAACAAAATATGCTCAGGAGTCATTTATTACAGTGAAACCTAGCGACAAATATATTGCGTGATACAATATTTATATCTGTGTGCATCTTTTGTCAAAGTCATAAAAGTGTATTTATTCTAATTGGTTTTTTATTACCTTTCAACAACATTGATATCACACTGGTTCTGACTATTATGCACGATGTGTATGGTGCGCTCCATACTCAAAGAAGGAAGAACTTAAGGCTTAGCATACATCTAACTGGAACCATTTCTCAAAGAGAATAACGTAGGTCTGATAAATCGTCAAAGATAAAAAGACATAAATCATAGAAAATGTCAAAAGGCAATTCACAAATGGCTAGTCGCGTATTGCTAAAGGAACATGGAGTACCACCGCAGCGTTTGTTAAAACTCAATTTCGAATTAAAAAAAAATTCAATAGCCTATTTTGAAAAGAAAATCTTAAAAATTCTAACCCAAAATATTGTCTTACTAACTTTAAAACTATTGTTCTCTAGGTGGGTGGGTGGGGGTTGATGGGGAGGGTTGGGGTTGATTTGATCGGGACAGACGTCTAAAACACCTAATTCGCCGCGAAGTTGCATCAATTAGACGTGTCTGTCCCCTGTGATCATGGGTTCGAATCTCACATCATTATGATCATTGGTTTGTCAGAACCATACCCGTGCCAAAGACCCGCATAACTTGTGATTTTCTTCCCACATACCGACGCGCCGCGATATTTCGGAAATACTTCTCAATGCCACGTTAAACTCTTATTGTTTTGGATGGAGGCACGCGTGGCCCTGTCGTCTAAGGCGTCGCGATTCGCGGTGCAGAGTTGCGTCGCTTGGGAACGCCAGAAATCTATGATTGTGGGTTCGAATCCCGGTTCGCTCTGATAATGTTTTTAGGTTTGTCAGCACCATACCCGTGCTCGTGGGCTTCACCGAAGTGGTAAACATCTGGCACCTGCATCACTTCGTGCTTTCCTCCCACATTAAGCTGACACGCCGTGTTATAACTGGAATACTGTTAAAAGCGGCGTTAAACCCAACTCTCTCTCTCACACATTTTGAAAAGACATGTTTATTATTAATTATGTGGATTATACACGACTAAACACCTCTCGGTTTATTGGTTTATTGGTTAGACGCCGTAGACGCCGACATTAGACGCCATAGGTTACGACATTACAACTAAATGCTGTTTAATCCGAGTTCCGGATTAAGGCGAGTCCTGTATATAGAGTAAGTGACGCCTACTGGCGATGGAAGCTGCATTGATAGTGTTGTACGTACACTAACCACATTCAAATAACGCGAGAGACCGTATGCATTAAAACTTTGGTAAATCAAACGGTACCATGCCTTGTGAAATTATCGGAATTGACAAATTACCGGAATTACGAAGGACGGGAGTGGAGTTATGTCCCCTTGTGTCTTGGTAGACGTTTCAGACATAAACTGTCCTTGGGGCCAGGTTTCTGGTTTGACAAGGGTCCGCTCAAACGGAGTTTCACTGTCGTGTGCACACACATTACGCTAAAACACAAATACGTGAGCTTGTACGAGAAATTGTATACATAAAACTGTTTCTATATAAACACCAGATTAAAGGACAACGTTCAGAGGCATTTGAGAAATGTTTCAGAATTCTGGACAAGATGAAGGTTACGGAATGGGTTAGGGGAACGAAATAATAAATAGAATTGAATTCGGGACTCAAATGCAAATTTGTACACGCTTAACGAGACTTTGAGGTGTCAGAAAGTCTATAGACGAAGGGAGTAAGATGAGCTTAATTCCTCCTTCGTAAGGGTATCGTCCTGGGGCGTGGTCCCGTTCACGTTCTTGAGGGGAAGGTCGTCTGTCTCGAACGCCTCGTTGACCTTAGAGATGTAAGCCAGTGAAGGGCCGATGTCGACGCTGTCCATGTCTGCGTACCTGCCGGTCCTGTTGGCGGGGTCAGCCGGACCCCAGTCGGCAGTGGGCTTTAAGGAGTTCCTCTGTAAGGTGAAGCGTGTTCAAGACTAATTTCATATCATATGATATCGATAATTTATTTCAAACCCATGAAAGATCTCATACCTCAAAATTTATTGTTTCAGAAACAATTAGTACTGATATAAAGTGTTTATGATATCACACAGAACTATGGTTCTCGCAACTTGAAATAGAATCACGAAATATCGCGATGGTTAATTAACAAAGATTGGTACATGTGTACTAATACTTATAAAGTAAAGGTCGCCATTCCGCCGGTAGGGAATATTACTTACAGTAATGATACAATAAATATTGCAAGACCCGTGAAGATCCGGAGTGGAATAGGTCTTCAGCAACCCATACATGCCGAAAAAGGCGACTGTGCTTGTCGTAAGAGGCGACTAACGGGATCGAGTGGTCAGACTCGCTGACTTGGTTGATGCATGTCATCGTATCCCATTTGTGTGGGTCGATGCTCATGATGTCAATCACTGGATTGTCTGGTCCAGACTCGATTAATTACAGACCGCCGTTATATAGCTGGAATATTGCTGAGTGCCGAATAGATCCTTAGTAACCATGCTTGTCGTACGGCGTAGGACGATGCTCATACTGTCAATCACTGGTGCCTCCAGTCTGGATTCGATTTTTTACAGAAACGGCCAGGTGTCATGTAAACAAGTAATTGACATTCACGTATTTAGATAAACAATAGGCTATAATGGCACTATACCCGTCTGACAAAGAAAGACGCGGTGTCGACTTACAAATCCCAGTCTCTTGATCTGTATGAGGGCGGTGACGATGATGACGGCAACAGGCACCAGCGACATCATCCAACCCACTCCCTGGGCCCACGGCTCAAACGTGTAGTCGTTGTAGCCGGCGGGAGCTGCGTTGTAGGCGCTGATGATGATGATGAACTGCAAAGGGCGGCATTAGCATATAGGTTTCAGTGCGTTAGGTGCGAGTGAATGAGTATGGTTTAACGCCGCCTTTTTCACATGTTCCCGAGGCAAGGGAGTTAAACGACTATAAGTCTAGTTTCCAGGGGAATCGAACCAGGTCTTCGGCATGACAAGCCAAGGCTTTAATAGCAACGACCTCAACGTCTCCTATTGTGGTAAATAACAGGGGTCTATTCGCAACTATAAATTCGTAAAAATATTTTTCAAAAACGTCCATCCAAATTTTGCCGTTTGAGTTAGAGAGAGGGAAGCGGTGATATCGTAACTTCTTCTGAAACGTCGATGAGGTGGCGAATAGGTCAGAGATTGTTATGGTAATACAAAGGGCATTTTGAATAACGTCCATCCAAATTTTGGCGAGAGAAATTCAGAGTTAGAGAGAGGGAAGCAGTGATATCGTAACTTCTTCTGAAACGTCGATGAGGTGGCGAATAGGTCAGAGGTTGTTATGGTAATACAAAGGGCATGCGCTGGAAAATCATGGATGTGCTTCGTGTCATAAGTTGGCCCATAGCGACCTCCACAGCCAAGCTTGGACAAGGCACAGACTGGGCATCTTGCATCAATCAGCAACACTACGTCAACGATCAGTCGTCAAATGTGCTGTAACTTCTTAGCCTGGATCAGCAGATCGTCCGTTCGAATTCCAGATTTCAAGATGATTATGGTGCTTGATGAGACAGCATCATAGCCTGCACACCAGTTTCACCTTAATGGTGACGTCTACCAGCGGCGTAGCTTTATGCTTTACGTCTACATTCCGCCATGATGTTACCAACAAACTGTTCACAGCGGCGTCGAGCCCAAATCACTCCTTGAGTTATTGGGAACAAGGTGGCCAAGTCGCTTAAGGCGCCGCAATTCGCTATGCAGAGTTGCGTACAGTGGCGTCAAGCCCAAATCACCCCTTGAGCTATGGGGGACAAGATGGCCCAGTCGCCTTAGGCGCCATAATTCGCTATGCAGAGTTGCGTACAGCGGCGTCAAGCCCAAATCACCCCTTGAGTTATGGGGGACAAGGTGGCCCAGTCGCTTAAGGCGCCGCAATTCGCTGTGTAGAGTTGCATACCCTGTGCACATCAGCAACCTATTAACATGATGGGTTCGAATCCCGGTTCACACTGATAACGTTTCAAGGTTTGTCAGCACCATACCCGTGCTCGTGGGATTCACAAAGAAGTAAACATCTGTGACCTGCATCTCTTTTTCTCCCACATTAAGCTGACACGCCGTGATATAAATGGAATACTGTTATGAGCGGCGTTAACCCCAACTCACTCACTCACCCCTTGAGTAACGCCATATATGTGCATTAAATAGGGGTTCGCGACACACAGTAATAAGTTGTCACCAACAAGACAACTGCTACCAATTCTGGGCATGTAACGGTTCATTCATGTCATTGTTCAAAGCTGTCCGAAAACACAACTCACTCACTGACAGTAGATGTGTGTATTGCCTTACCAGTATTGTGAGAGGCGTGAGGACCGTCCACATCGCCCACCAGTAAACGTTAGGTTTGAACCCCAACATCATCTCAATGTCACACATGAATCTCTTGATACCTGGAACCGGAGAAAGTCACGGGTTTACACCAATTATGATCTCATTATGCAAAACACACACACACACGCACGCGCACGCACGCACACACACAGACACAAACACACACACACACACACACACACACACACACACACGCACGCACGCACGCACGCACACACACACACACGCACACACACATACACACACACGCACGCACACGCACACATACACACACAGACACACGCACACACACAGACACACACACACACGCAAGCACGCACGCACTCACGCACGCACACACACATACACGCACGCACACACACATACATACACACACACACGCACACATACACACACACAGACACACATGCACACATACATACACACACACGCACACAAACACATACACACACAGACACGCGCACGCACGCACGCACGCACGCACACACACACGAACACACACACACGTATGTGTTCTCTCCCTGTTTAATGGGCTTCTTGTAGGATTGGTTTCCTCACCATCTGTTCTCTGTCCATCATGTTGTTACAGTTTTGGTTGTTTAACGCCGCACTCAGCAATATTCCAGCTATATGACGGCGGTCTGTAAATAATCGAGTCTGGACCAGATGATCCACTGATTAATATCATGGGCATCGATCCACGCAATTGGAATAGATGACATGTATCAACCAAGTCAGCGAGCCTGCCACCCGATCCCGTCAGTCGCCTCTTACGACAAGCATAGTCGCCTTTTACCCCAAGCATGGGTTGCTGAAGACCTATTCTACCCCGAATCTTCACGGGTCTGTTACAGTATTGTCTTTTTAAGTCTTTGAAAGGCATTTAGAAGTGATACACGAAGGGAGAACTAGGACATGAAAGTAAGGTACCTTGTCAATGCCATGTGTCCCTTGCGTAGATGATAACTAACATGCTCGACCTTTTACAAATGATCTGAGTCGATGATTAATTATCACTTTAAAACAGGAAACGTATAAACACCTATGCAATATCAATCCTGTTTTCATGTTGTTGGACCCGTTCCTCAAAGCGATCGTACCGCTACAACCGACGTAAGTCTATTTTAATGTATGGGAGTTTAGCGCTATTATGGCTTTTTTAAAACGGGTCCCTGATGATGTTATGTTTGTGGCGTCAGTGATAAAGTATCACTGCATATTTCACAATAGTGACAATATGACATCAACATGCATCAACCGGGCATTAATGCACATGAAAAACAGAAAGTTACAACACTCGATCTGTCTACGCTTTATGCGTACAGTTGAAAAATACATGATTGCATTATACAATGTAATTCAAAAATCCCTTTTTGGAAGGAAGAGAACTTTCAAATGAAGCCAAATTAAAATTAGTTTTCAACTTACCGTAGACATACGATATACAGAACAGCTCGCAGAAACCTATCGCGAACAGGTTGTAGCTGCCACTGTACCAGTTCATCAGCGTCAACACGTATAAACCACCCTACAGGTAGAGAATAATATCAGCATTAACACGTATATACCACCCTATAGGTAGAGAATAATATCAGCGTTAACAAGTATATACCACCCTACAGGTAGAGAATAATATCAAGTTAACACGTATATACCACCCTACAGGTAGAGAATAATATCAACGTTAACACGTATATACCACCCTACAGGTAGAGAATAATATCAGCATTAACACGTATATACCACCCTACAGGTAGAGAATAACGTCAGCATCAACACGTATATACCACCCTACAGGTAGAGAATAATATCAGCATTAACACGTATATACCACCCTACAGGTAGAGAATAACGTCAGCATTAACAAGTATATACCACCCTCCAGGTCGCGAATGATATCAAATTAACACGTATATACCACCCTACAGGTAGAGAATAATATCAGCGTTAACACGTATATACCACCCTACAGGTGGAGAATAATATCAGCGTTAACACGTATATACCACCCTACAGGTAGAGAATAATATCAGCATTAACACGTATATACCACCCTACAGGTAGAGAATAATATCAGCGTTAACACGTATATACCACCCTACAGGTAGAGAATAATATCAACGTTAACACGTATATACCACCCTACAGGTAGAGAATAACGTCAGCATTAACACGTATATACCACCCTACATGTAGAGAATAACGTCAGCGTTAACAAGTATATACCACCCTACAGGTAGAGAATAATATCAGCGTTAACACGTATAAACCACCCTACAGGTAGAGAATAATATCAACGTTAACACGTATATACCACCCTACAGGTAGAGAATAACGTCAGCGTTAACAAGTATATACCACCCTACAGGTAGAGAATAACGTCAGCGTTAACACGTATAAACCACCCTACAGGTAGAGAATAATATCAAGTTAACACGTATATACCACCCTACAGGTAGAAAATAGCACCAGCGTTAACAAGTATATACCACCCTACAGGTAGCGAATGATATCAAGTTAACACGTATATACCACCCTACAGGTAGAGAATAATATCAAGTTAACACGTATATACCACCCTACAGGTAGAGAATAATATCAAGTTAACTCGTATATACCACCCTACAGGTAGCGAATGATATCAAGTTAACACGTATATACCACCCTACAGGTAGAGAATAACACCAGCGTTAACACGTATGTACCACCCTACAGATAGAGAATAACGTCAGCGTTAACACGTATATACCACCCTACAGGAAGAAAATAACACCAGCGTTAACAAGTATATACCACCCTACAGGTAGAGAATATTATCAAGTTAACACGTATGTACCACCCTACAGGTAGAAAATAACACCAGCGTTAACAAGTATATACCACCCTACAGGTAGAAAATAACACCAGCGTTAACAAGTATATACCACCCTACAGGTAGAGAATGATATCAAGTTAACACGTATATACCACCATACAGGTAGAGAATAATATCAAGTTAACTCGTATATACCACCCTACAGGGAAAAATAACACCAGCGTTAACAAGTATATACCACCCTACAGGTCGAGAATAATATCAAGTTAACACGTATATACCACCATACAGGTAGAGAATAATATCAAGTTATCACGTATATACCACCCTACAGGTAGAGAATAATATCAAGTTAACTCGTATGTACCACCCTACAGGGAAAAATAACACCAGCGTTAACAAGTATATACCACCCTACAGGTCGAGAATAATATCAAGTTAACACGTATATACCACCCTACAGGTAGAGAATAATATCAAGATAACACGTATAAACCACCCTACAGGTAGAGAATAGTATCAAGTTAACACGTATATACCACCCTACAGGTAGAGAATAGTATCAAGTTAACACGTATAAACCACCCTACAGGTAGAAATGTGATTAATATCATCAACTAAAATGAAAACATCATAGTGATGCCATCGTATTACAGGAACTAGTTTAAGGGAGTACTGGTACCCACAGCAGAGCAACAGGAATGAGACAAATCAAGAAACCATCAGAAATCCCCCGTCTACTCACGTAGGTGACGATGGGGATGCCGAGTAAGAAGCCGATGATGCAACATATCAAGGTGAAGGGCGTCTTCCTTTTACGGAGATACTGCGGGAAGACGTCCGAGATGCCGCTGATAACTGTCTCCATCATGGCGAACTGCGAACACGTCACATATAGGTCATGTCATTTGAAACTCCATCATGGCGAACTGCGAACACGTCACATAGAGGTCATGTCATTTGAAATTGCTTTAAAATATGTGTTCGTTATTACTATGACAAGGAATACAATGGCGCTATGTATATACTATAATAAAGAAGATGTTATACATAATATTCATCGTCATAATTCTATAACTTCTAAATGCCAATTTATTAGGACCTTAAAAGGGAAAGGTCTAAGCTGAATAGTTTTTAAAAATTGGGAGGGGGGGGGGGGGGTGTCGTAATAACTGTTGCACATTAGGGGGAGGTCTGTCGTACCTGACTGTCCATCCCTAGGGTCAGCAGCATGAAGAAGAACAGGAAGGCCCACAGTGGAGCAACCGGAAGTCTAGATATGCCTTCTGGGTAAGCGATGAACGCTAATCCAACACCTTAAATATACAATGCCGGTAACGTCTTAACATGTTGTACCATTTTGCCTCTTCTTTCAGAAAACGGAACGTTAACATGACATTAAATCACAGAACACTGAGTGGTTGAATAAGGTGTAACGCCGCTCTCAGCATTAGTGTATACCAACCCGGAACACCCCTTGCATACACAAATAATACGCTTGCAGGAATTAAACCAGTCTTTAGGCCTGGCGAGCTATCGCTTTGACCGATAGACCCCCCTACTGCTCCTCTACAGAGTAGCATGAGGGACTTGTAATTTATATCCTGACACGGATACAGGTGAAAATAGTTTCAGTATTTTTACCTGAGCATCATATATTTCCTCAATCATAATTGGCTGATCAACTGGCGGTCAAAGGAAACTTTACCATAGTTTTAAATCACTCGAGTTTGAAAACCACAAAAGATAGATGTATGAAGTAAAACGTATTGAAGGATCAAAATCTCAACGAAATCATCATTTGCAATGACGGTCATCAAGCATCCGATGTTGGCACGACAGTTGCCGGAATTGAGGAGGGGTAGCCAAAACAAGCTTTCAACGTAATGCAAAAAGGGCACACATTTCTAAAGTTTAATGACACGTCACATTAACCACCTTAACCACCCTCTGCTACAAAACACGCAAATACTCTCCGTCAGTCGTCTCATGACGCCACGTGGGATAAAGCGCCATTTTATTTTGAGGGCCTGGGTCAGTTCTTATCGGTTGGCTGGAGAATGTGGTCTCTGTCGAACACGACGACCCATGACACCCGAAATGTGTTCTATGGAGACATGTCCAGGGAGCTTGCAGGCCATGGCAACACGTTGATGTTGTTGACTGCAAGGAACCTCTATACGATTCGGGCTGTATGCGGTGTTGCGTTGTCTAATGAAGGACACCAGCTGATGTAGAAATAGTTGGACAATCGGACGACGAATGTCATCCACGTAACGCTGTGTTGTCAGATTTCCGTTAACTACGACCAGTGGTGTTCACTCCTGCCTACAAATTCCTCCTCACACCATAACACTCCCTCCACCATTCCTCCTGAGGGCAACATGACGCCGTTCTGCGGTAAACACGCTTTCAACAGACAGAAGTGGCTTTTATCAGTGAAGACGACCCTCACTGCCAACGACGTACAGCCTAGGCACATCTCAGTCTTTAACGACGATGTTGCGCTATCAATAACTGTTCTCTATAAGGTCTGTAAGCCCTAATTCCTTGAGTCCTGTGTCGCCTGGCTGTTGATTACCCACATGCCCTAAGGCACTGGTCGCTGATGACGTCACTTCCAGGAATCGGTTCCGGAGATGTAAAGTACGCAAGTTCCGGTCTTCATTGGGCGTAGTTACCCTGGGTCTGCCTGTTTTTGAACTGTCTGATGTCTGCCCTTTTTGTCTTTAATGTTGCATCAAGCTAGTTACAGCAAATCGGGGGCAACCAAGAGGTTTAGCAATGTCGGCATGGGTGGCTCCAATCTGTATCATACCAAGGGCCCGCTCGCGTCGTTCGGGTGTCAGTCGTGGCATTTCTGTGGTGTATTTCGTATCAGTGTGAGTGTCTGGCATGCCGTCCGTATCCTTTATATACCCTTATTGCACGTGTAGTTTCAGATGCCCAAGAAGCACGTGTTTTTCACTTTTTCGCATTTTCTACTAAAAAAAGTGCTGTGGACGTGTATCACTTTCTGAACATTCTTGTGTTTGGTCGATGCGTATTGCATTGATTTAGTTTGAAGTTGTGTTATCAATTTTTTGTAGTTTCATTTTAAAAGTGGTAAAGTGGCCGTCTGTTTGGTTAAATTGTTCCGCTTTTTTATTGTTTTCTAATAGCTGACTGACGTCAGTTGAACGCATTATTCCATAAAATTGAAAATGGCGAGTTAATGTGACGTTGTTAAAACAGTACACTATCTGATTTGATGTCAAATTTTTGAGTCCACATTTTTCTACATTTCTTCAAAACAAATATAAACAAATGATAATGTACTCGCAACTTGGAATTAGGATCTGACCAACTCAGCCACTAAGGCTTCCACGACAAATTCATAAATTTCGGCCATGGGAGCCATGCCAATTTACACTTGTCAGAGGGGTATACAAAGTACGTGATCTCGTCTACCAGTTGTACTTTCATTTTTGTGGAAAATTCCGTGTCTGAGACACCGTGGGTTAGATCGCTGACTTTCTGTGTGGGCGATTATGAACTTCACTCTTAAACTGTGGGTTCGAATCCCGAATGGGACTCAACCCACCAAAGGACTAGAATCTGTACTTTGAAAAGAAAGTGTTGTCCCAAATATAACATTTGTTAAAACTTTCTAAATGGTTTGGGTTTTTTTAACAGCAGAGGTCTCTCTAATTAACACGGCTGAACCAGTGCTACGTACCCTCGTCGGCGACCTCGGACACTTCCACGTTGGACTGATAGGCCATGAAGCCAAGGAGCGAGAAGATGGCGAACCCCGCGAAGACACTGGTGCCGCAGTTGATTAACGCAACTATTATTGCGTCCCTTGAAAATATGTTAAGCATTCATAATCAAAAATATATGGATTGTCTGTTCCAGACTTGATTATTTACAGACCGCCGTCATATAACTGTAATATTGCTGAGAGTGGCGTTAAACATAAAACAAACAAACAAACAAACAAAACCTGTGTATGCTGGAAACTGGTATTGGTACACTTGACGTTAGGTAGACGTGGTTGTGAACACGAAGACACGGATTAACTACTAGTCTGTCTTACAGGCCCTGAACCAGACTACTTGCCCTTCTGCCCAGCCCTTACTATTATGCTATAGCTTAAATGAAGCAAGTCTAGATTTTCCACAGGTTCAGGCTTAATCTCCATCTGACTGGGGCTTCTTTTTCAATTTAAATGGAGATGTTTGTTTCTATCAAAATTACATATTTTCACGGACTAAGCGTTTGTTTAACTGACTACCTGTAGCAGTTGTTATTGAACTTGTTGTAACTGGACATCGTTAGCAGACCACCAAAACCTGGTCCCAGGGAGTAGAATATCTGAGCCGCTGCGTCGCCCCATACCTATAACAGTAAACAACAACACTGTGTCCAAGACCCGAGAGAATAAATTAAAAAAGGAGTCTAACTCAAGTCTAGTTTGCCTCAGTTCAAACTCCATTTTGGAGAATAAATTAAAAAAAGGAGACCAACTCAATCAAGCAAGTCTTGTTTGCCTCAGCTCTAAATTATAGATAACTTTATTTCTGGGACAAAATGTCAGTCTAATTGTATAGTGGGGCCGTTTCGTGAATTGTGCACTTTGTGTTAAAAGCATGGAACTTGGCACAGTTGTAGGTAATGGCATTCCACATATTTTCAGATATGGGTCATCTAAAAACAAATCCAATATGGCCGCCAAGGAGGAATGCATTTCTCGTCTATCTCTTTTGAACATGACCCACAACTTAAATATATTATGAAAAATGAACATGTATCTAACAATACATCTGTAAAGTTAATAACTTTATTTTAGTAGAATATTTGTTTCGATTTAGATAATCTAAATATAGCAAATATTAAAAGTATATGCATTTCGTTCTTACATCATTAAAGCCAATCACCTATAGCAATATATTATACACATATGGTAAATAATAGAATATTTCAAGAAGAAAATGTATATTTGTCGTAATATGATTGTATATGGCAAATGTTTTGGTTGGCAAGTGACAATTAAATGTGATCACATGTGATGTACTTATCTAATGTGACACAACAACCCCCGTCAGACTTACAACTACTTCCCAGAAGCTTTTGGCATGACTTAGAAGCTTGTGGTAGTGTAGTCCACACAACTTCATAGACATGTGCTTCTGATATTACCCATCCTCTCTCAGTGCGTGTGGAAAGGGCTGTTTCGACCACCAGACTTAGTCCCCAACAGTGGCAAGTATGAAATGCAGCTTTTTGGTCATGTTGGTACAAAGTAATTGATGTGGAGGAATGGAATCAGTTGCTTTACCTTTCTTAGTGAATAGTCTTTGTGTGTCTCATCATCTCTTGTACAGATACAGAATCACACATTCAAACCACAACACGCCGAATGACTGGCGTCATGTTCTTCACATCCTGTACAGATACAGAATCACACATTCAAACCACAACACGCCGAATGACTGGCGTCATGTTCTTTACATCCTGTACAGATACAGAATCACACATTCAAACCACAACACGCCGAATGACTGGCGTCATGTTCTTCACATCCTGTACAGATACAGAATCACACATTCAAACCACAACACGCCGAATGACTGGCGTCATGTTCTTCACATCCTGTACAGATACAGAATCACACATTCAAACCACAACACGCCGAATGACTGGCGTCATGTTCTTCACATCCTGTTCGGTTGGTACATCACCAATGAGTTTGAAAGCCTCAAGCTCAACCTCAACTGTGTTCATCATACACATTCCATGTTTCCGAAGCTGTCTTTTTTATGCCTGGTCACAGACATTGAAAGAAAAGCTCGAAGTGAACAAGCTTTCTCTGTCTATAGAATCCGATAAGGACATAAACAGACAAATATCTGAATTATTTGCCAGCTCCAGAAGCTATCCAGAGGAAAGACACATCTATTCTGAGCTTAACTTGCTGTCACCATACATCTTTCTTTGCGGGAAAAGGTAAAACAAAGACAACGTGGGAAATATGGAATAATAATAATATTAATAATAATAATAATTTATGCATTTGTATAGGGCAGCATTCACTGTGCATAAGTGCTCTGTGCGCTGTAATGAGTGAGTGAGTGAGTTGGGTTTAACGCCGCTTTTAACAGTATTCCAGTTATATCACGGCGTGTCAGCTTAATGTGGGAGGAAAGCCCGAAGCGATGTAGGTCTCAGACGTTTACCACTTCGGTGAAACCCACGAGCACGGGTATGGTGCTGACAAACCTAGAAACATAATCGGGGCGAACCGGGATTCGAACCCACAATCATAGGTTTCTGGCGTGCCCAAGGGACGCAACTCTGCACAGCGAATCGCGGCGCTTTAGACGACTGGGCCACCCGTGCCCCCGCGCTGTAATGAAACTTATAGTCAGTGGGAGTGTTTCTTGAACAGGTGGGTCTTGATGGGGTGTTTAAGCAGGAGGGTGATAAGGAAGTCTTTATGGAGAGAGGGAGTTCATTCCACTTGGAGCTTGCTGTGTAGGCGAAGGATCGCATACCGAATGTGTGTGATGATGGACCACACGGCCACAAGCTTCTAAGTCATGCCAAGAGCTTCTGAGATGTAGTTGTAAGTCTAAGAAGGGATGCACAGGATGCTGCGACTGTGTTGTGGCACATTAAAATGGTTCACCACTTTGCAAATATGATGCCAACTGTGATCACAGTTAATTGCCTCTAACCAACTCAAACCATTAGCTATTTAAAGCATATTTTAATGAATACAAATGTTGTTCTTAAAATACTCTGTTGTTGTCACTATATTCACCATATAAGTATACAATGTTGGTATAGTTAATTGGCCTTCATGAAGTATGTCTTAAAGATATGCCGAAAAAGTAAGAAAATGAATATATTTTTTTATTTTTTTCACACTTCAGATGACCTTAATCATCATAAATAGTCTATTATGATAACATTATTTCCTTTACAGATATGGTGTTGGTAAATATATTCCAAAATGTTTTTCTTTATATATTTAGGTTGTGGGTCATGTTCACATGTGATGTACTAAAATTTCATTCCTCGATTGCGGCCATATTGGATTTGACGGCTATATTGGATTTTTGGCTGACCCATATCTGAAAATATTTGGAACGTCATTACCTACAACTGTGCTGCCTTTCATGCTTTTATCACAAAGTGCACAATTGACCTTATACCTGTCACGAAACGGCTCCACAATTATGACGTATGCGATGTAAATGACGACATGTACCATTAAAAATGAATACATCCGTCAACACAACCTTCGTATGCTGTATACCGACCCTTAGACGGGAAACAGATCTGGCGTCGTGGTGAGTGAGTGAGTGAGTGAGAGAATGTCGTTTGGCGCCGCAGTTAGAAATGTCCCGGCTATATTACGGCGGCCTGTAAATCATGGAGCGGTAACCTATGAACAATGATCAACACAGTCGGGCCCCGATGACTCACATCAGTCAAACTGATCACTCGAACATCTTTTGTGGTCACTATCGAGAAACATATGTCACTGGAAACCAATGCCAACAATTGATATGTGACGTGGTAGAACGGGTGCCGGTTAATGGTGTGTGGCCGGCAATATCAACACTGCAATAACAGCTAAATCAACGATACAATGTCTCAAATTCCACAAATGCCAAAAGTTACAGAGTGTCATTAACGACGGGTGTACTATCATGAAATAGAAGGCCCTTCTTGACCTTGTTGTCTGCGAGTGACAAAACCAAGATAAGTTTACTTCTAACAAGCTCACCGCGATTGACAGGAGACGGGTTCTTCATTGTCTACTTTACCGTGGGTGACAGGGTACGGGTTCACTATTGCCTAGTTTACCGTGGGTGAGAGGAGACGAGTTTACTATTGCCTAGTTGCTGTGGAAGACAGGAGACGGGTTCACTATTACCTAGTTTACCTTGGAAGACAGTAGACGGGTTCACTATTACCTAGTTTACCTTAGAAGACAGTAGACAGGTTCAATACGGCCTAGGTTACCTTGGAAGACAGTAGACGGGTTCACTATTACCTAGTTTACCTTGGAAGACAGTAGACGGGTTCACTATTACCTAGTTTACCTTGGAAAACAGTAGACGGGTTCACTATTACCTAGTTTACCTTGGAAGACAGTAGACGGGTTCACTATTACCTAGTTTACCTAAGAAGACAGTAGACGGGTTCACTATTACCTAGTTTACCTTGGAAGACAGTAGACGGGTTCACTATTACCTAGTTTACCTTGGAAGACAGGAGACGGGTTCACTATTACCTAGTTAACCTTGGAAGACAGTAGACGGGTTCACTATTACCTAGTTTACCTTAGAAGACAGTAGACAGGTTCAATACGGCCTAGGTTACCTTGGAAGACAGTAGACGGGTTCACTATTACCTAGTTTACCTTGGAAGACAGTAGACGGGTTCACTTTTGCCTAGTTAACCTGGAAGACAGTAGACGGGTTCACTATTGCCTTGTTTGTCGTGGAAGACAGGAGACGGGAAATGGGTTCACTATTACCTAGTTTATCGTGGAAGACAGAAGACGGGTTCACTATTACCAAGTTTACCTTGGAAGACAGTAGACGGGCTCACTATTACATAGATTACCTTGGAAGACAGTAGACGGGTTCACTATTGCCTTGTTTGTCGTGGAAGACAGGAGACGGGAAATGGGTTCACTATTACATAGTTAACCTTGGAAGACAGTAGACAGGTTCACTATTACCTAGTTTACCTTGGAAGACAGTAGACGGGTTCACTATTACCTAGTTAACCTTGGAAGACAGGAGACGGGTTCACTATTACCTAGTTTACCTTGGAAGACAGTAGACGGGTTCACTATTACCTAGTTTACCTTAGAAGACAGTAGACAGGTTCAATACGGCCTAGGTTACCTTGGAAGACAGTAGACGGGTTCACTATTACCTAGTTAACCTTGGAAGACAGTAGACGGGTTCACTATTGCCTAGTTTACCGTTGAAGACAGAAGACGATTTCACTACTACCTGGTTTACCGTGGAAGACAGTAGAAGGGTTCACTATTACCTAGTTTACCTTGGAAGACAGAAGACGACTTCACTATTGCCTTGTTTGTCGTGGAAGACAGAAGACGGGAAATGGGTTCACTATTACCTAGTTTACCGTGGAAGACAGTAGACGGGTTCACTATTACCAAGTTTACCTTGGAAGACAGTAGACGGGCTCACTATTACATAGATTACCTTGGAAGACAGTAGACGGGTTGGCTATTGTCTAGTTTGTCGTGGAGGACAGTAGACGGGTTCACTATTACCTAGTTTACCGTGGGTGACAGGAGACGGCTTCACTATTACCTAGTTTACCTTGGAAGACAGGAGATGGGTTCACTTTTGCCTAGTTTACCGGGGAAGACAGGAGACGAGTTCACTGTTACCTATGTTACCTTGGGTGACAGGGGACGAGTTCATTATTACCTATGTTACCGTGAGTAACAGAAGATAGATTCACCACAGCTTACCGAAGGATTCAGAAGACGCTCCCATACAGGTATAATGTAAAATTCGATGCCCTTCTCATACCCCGGCAGAGTCAGGCCTCGGATCAGCAGGACCACAAGCACGATGTAGGGGAAGGTGGCGGTGAAGTACACAACCTGAGAAAAACAAGAGAAACGCGGGAGAAACCCACGAGAAACAGGTCATTGGAACCCATGTTGCAAGAACAAATAATGTTTTAAAACCATTTTGGAAGAAACAATGAGAAGAACATCCATGCCGAGTTACACAACCACTAGATGAACATACAATCCCGTTAGTATGTAACCAACTACTAGAAGAACATACGGACGAGTTGTACACCGAGCACTTGGACATACAGACGAGTTGTACACCGAGCACTTGGACATACAGACGAGTTGTACACCGAGCAATGGACATACAGACGGGTTGTACACCGAGCACTTGGACATACAGACGAGTTGTACACCGAGCAATGGACATATAGACGGGTTGTACACCGAGCACTTGGACATACAGACGAGTTGTACACCGAGCAATGGACATACAGACGAGTTGTACACCGAGCAAGGTACAAACAGACGAGTTGTACACCGAGCAGTTGAACATACAGACGAGTTGTACACCGAGCAGTTGGACATACAAACTAGTTATACAACGAGCAGTTGGACATACAAACAAATTGTACACCGAGCAGATGTACAAACAGACGATTTGTACACGGAGTAATGGACATACATACAAATTGTACATCGAGCAGATGTACATACAGACGAGTTGTACACCGAGCAGATGTACAAACAGACGAGTTTTACACCGAGCAATGGACATACAAACAAATTGTACATCGAGCAGATGTACATACAGACGAGTTGTACACCGAGCAGATGTACAAACAGACGAGTTGTACACGGAGTAATGGACATACAAACAAATTGTACATCGAGCAGATGTACATACAGACGAGTTGTACACCGAGCAGATGTACAAACAGACGAGTTGTACACCGAGCAGATGTACAAACAGACGAGTTGTACACCGAGCAATGAACATACAGACGAGTAATACACCGATAAATGTGACAAACAGGCGGTTTATATAACGAGCAATGGGACATACAGACGAGTTATTTAACGAGCAAGCGGACATACGAACGAGTATTACACCGACCAATGGGACATACAGACGAGTTATACATGTATAGCCATTGCAGGAAGAAAGATAGACGGTGTGACTGGAAGGTCTCTGCTCACCTTCCCAGAAGACTTGATGCCCTTCATTAGGCAGAAGAAGATGAGGATCCAGGCAAATAGGAGACAGATGATGTTCTTCAGACTCACAGGTCCCAGGCTGCCGATGCCGTCGGATTCCGGGTACCGCGTCACGTACAGTCTGAAACAGTTCGTGATGATGATGCTGATTGTTGTTTAAAGCTGCATTCAGCAATATTCCAGCTATATGACATCGGTCTGTAAATAATCGAGTCTGGTCCAGACAATCTAGTGATTACCATCATCAGCATCTACGCAATTGGGATACGATGACATGCATCAACCAAGGCAGCGAGCCTGACCACCCGATCCCGTTAGTCGCCTCTTACGACAAGCATAGTCTCCTTTTGCGGCAAGCATGGGTTGCTGAAGACCTATTCTACCCCGGTAGTAGTAGCAGTAGTAGTAGTCGTAGTAGGGATAGTAGTGGTAGTGGTAGTTGTAGTAGTTACATGCATATGGAGCAGTGTAACTTGGATCTCTAGAAATGGAAGCCATTTTCATCCTCTAAATTATACATATTTAATGCATACAAGTTATCTCTCTTACGCCCAGTATTCCGCGCTCGCTGTTGTCCACCTGATCTTGCATTCCTCGAAGTACTTCCCCGCGCCATTGAGCAGAGTGGAGTTGACGGTGTCAAAGGTCAGGTCTGGCATCATGGTCTTATTGGCTACTGTGCTGACCAATCCACGCACGCATGAGGAGTTGAACTTCTCATCTGCAATAACCAAGAAAATGAGTTCCTTTAAGTGGCATTCTAGAGTTGGTGTGATGAAGAAGGGGGATAGTCTATTGATGTACAACTTCTTTATAACAATGTATGCGACGTTTCGGTGTTCAAGCCACGATGTTAGTATCTACACTGAAACGTTGCATTTATGTAATAAAGAAGTTGTTTACCTATAGAACTAAACTCTTCATTTGCTTGATAAAGTATCTACACCGAAACGTTGCATTTATTGTAATAAAGAAGTTGTTTATCTATAGAACTAAACTCTTCATTTGCTTGATAAAGTATCTTCACCGAAACGTTGCATTTATTGTAATAAAGAAGTTGTTTATCTATAGAACTAAACTCTTCATTTGCTTGATAAAGTATCTACACCGAAACATCGCATTTATTGTAATAAAGAAGTTGTTTATTTATAGAACTAAACTCTTCATTTGCTTGATAAAATATCTACACCGAAACATCGCATTTATTGTAATAAAGAAGTTGTTTATCTATAGAACTAAACTCTTCATTTGCTTGATAAAGTATCTTCACCGAAACGTTGCATTTATTGTAATAAAGAAGTTGTTTATCTATAGAACTAAACTCTTCATTTGCTTGATAAAGTATCTTCACCGAAACGTTGCATTTATTGTAATAAAGAAGTTGTTTATCTATAGAACTAAACTCTTCATTTGCTTGATAAAGTATCTACACCGAAACGTTGCATTTATTGTAATAAAGAAGTTGTTTATTTATAGAACTAAACTCTTCATTTGCTTGATAAATTATCTACACCGAAACGTTGCATTTATTGTAATAAAGAAGTTGTTTATTCATAGAACTAAACTCTTCATTTGCTTGATAAATTATCTACACCGAAACGTTGCATTTATTGTAATAAAGAAGTTGTTTATTCATAGAACTAAACTCTTCATTTGCTTGATAAATTATCTACACCGAAACGTTGCATTTATTGTAATAAAGAAGTTGTTTATCTATAGAACTAAACTCTTCATTTGCTTGATAAATTATCTACACCGAAACGTTGCATTTATTGTAATAAAGAAGTTGTTTATCTATAGAACTAAACTCTTCATTTGCTTGATAAAATATCTACACCGAAACGTCGCATTTATTGTAATAAAGAAGTTGTTTATCTATAGAACTATTTCCTTTGTTTAAGAACACGAAGACAGGAAACTTTTAGAAATAACACTAATGGGCAGGATGTAGCCTTGGAACGGCGCTATAAACAATAAACAAGTTTTTATCAATAAAGGTTTCATGTCCTCATGGAATACCCAAGTACCTTGTATAAGGTCAACAATCAGAACTGTACTGATTATGGAGAATATTTAATCTTGAATACTAGTATTTAAAATGGGTTGTACATTAACTATATGGATTAAAACCCATCGCGGTCATGTAAAATACATTATTATTACTCGAAATTAAATTTAGCTGTCTGTTTGGCCCATCGTCATCTTGTATAACCAGCCTCCTTGTGCTAGTGGATAGAGCGTCTACCTGGAGAGCGGAACTCGTGGTTCGTTCCCCGGCCGCGTCAAAAGACGTTTAAGGATCGAACTTGTTGTTACCCTGCCTGGTAAACCCCATTACATCTCACCATCATCTCATGACGTTATGATTCTCCATGACGAAATGCTGGACACCGACCACACTCAGTTTCCTCCACGGGACACAATATAGTTGTCAGAGCGAAATATATGGCAATAAGTATAGGGGCACTTAGCTCCATGTTCTTCTGAATTGCAATAAGTATAGGGGCACTTAGCTCCATGTTCTTCTGAATTGCAATAAGTATAGGGGCACTTAGCTCTATGTTCTTCTCAATTGCAATAAGTATAGGGGCACTTAGCTCTATGTTCTTCTGAATTGCAATAAGTATAGGGGCACTTAGCTCTATGTTCTTCTGAATTGCAATTAGTATAGGGGCACTTAGCTCAATGTTCTTCTCAATTGCAATTAGTATAGGGGCACTTAGCTCCATGTTCTTCTGAATTGCAATTAGTATAGGGGCACTTAGCTCTATGTTCTTCTGAATTGCAATTAGTATAGGGGCACTTAGCTCCATGCTCTTCTGAATTGCAATTAGTATAGGGGCACTTAGCTCTATGTTCTTCTCAATTGCAATTAGTATAGGGGCACTTAGCTCCATGTTCTTCTGAATTGCAATTAGTATAGGGGCACTTAGCTCCATGTTCTTCTGAATTGCAATTAGTATAGGGCCTCTAGCTCCATGTTCTTCTGAATTGCAATTAGTATAGGGGCACTTAGCTCCATGTTCTTCTGAATTGCAATTAGTATAGGGGCACTTAGCTCCATGTTCTTCTGAATTGCAATTAGTATAGGGGCACTTAGCTCCATGTTCTTCTGAATTGCAATACGTATAGGTTCACTTAGCTCTATGTTCTTCTGAATTGCAATTAGTATAGGGGCACTTAGCTCTATGTTCTTCTGAATTGCAATTAGTATAGGGGCACTTAGCTCCATGTTCTTCTGAATTGTAATTAGTAAAGGGGCACTTAGCACTAAGGTCCTATGAATGGTAATTTGTGTAGGGGCACCTCGCTCTATGTTCTTCTGAATTGCAATTAGTATAGGGGCACTTAGCTCCATGTTCTTCTGAATTGCAATTAGTATAGGGGCACTTAGCTCTATGTTCTTATGAATGGCAATTAGTATAGGGGCACTTAGCTCTATGTTCTTATGAATGGCAATTAGTATAGGGGCACTTAGCTCAATGGTCTTATGAATTGCAATCAGTATAGGCCAGCCCAATAATGAAACAGCTTTCTGATTGGCTAGTCACCTTCTTTTAAAACTCATGAAGGTCGGAAATATACTAGTTTGCAGTATGACTGGACATTAGAGTGTAGTACTACCGTACAATGTGCCGAGTGAGAATGTCTCGTTAGCGCCACTCAGATCCGTGAATGCCTCTCGCCGACATAACTTGGTGTTGAAGTCGTTGTTGCACGTCTCCCACGGTAGTTTGTCGTCGAGGTTGACGAAGCTGACAAACATGTAGTAGATGGCGTACATGATGATGACGTTGTAATAGATGGCGACGACGGCACTGGTGATAACCATGGCGTACCCGGCACCTGGAGAGAAGTACAGCAGTCATTCATTGTTGAAGTCAACGCCAAAAGAAACCATATTGGTTTATGTATTAAGAATTACTCATATTCAAGACACATTAGATTGGTTCGATGCACACTGGTATGCCGTGTGAACCGACTCTCGTGAAAGCATTCCACGCGAAGCCTTAGATCCATGACTCGAAATGCACACTTTATATTGTGCAGGATTGGCATGTAGGTGAGGTGAAATGGGGTTTAACGTCGCGTCCAAGATTATTGCACTTATATAGAGACGTGCATGTACGTGTGTGTGTTTGTGTGGCTGCTTGTACTAGTCCTGACCGATGCCGATTTATAGTGCTAGGCCACTGAGATACCATGCCGCAGTGAATGAATGAATACCCCGCTCAGACACAGTATACTGACTCCGAGCTGATCCGTCCTTGTTTTAGCCCCTTAATGCCGAGCGCCAGACAGGGTAACACCAATTACCATCTTTTAACGTCTTTTGGTATGACGCTGTCGGGGTTCGAACCCCGGACCTTCCGCTCTCCGGGCGGACGCTCTACCACTAGACCACGGAGGCGGTGATTGGCATGTAAAGTTTGGAAATAGCGTGAAGCATATCGGGATAAAAATATAGACACTCTGTGGTAACACCTGACTGATTGTTAGTTTTGTCATTTATTGATACACATTGGAAACATCTCTTCTTTACGCACATACTTCTCTACATGTTTCTATGGTTCGCGTTTCTTTTAGTGGTGAGTATATATACACCCGGAGGGGCGAGTGGATAACGCTATTACATCTACCCGGTCTGCTCCTACGTGGATCAGACAAACCCATTGACAGAAACTCGAAACTCGATGTATTGTATCCCGCAACTGTAACGTATCAATGGATCGTTATCCCCTCCCTGACTTACCTGTGAAAATGGGGCTGACCTTCCACACTGTGATGGGTCCCTCTGAGGCAAACTGGCCAAGGGCGAGTTCAAAGAAGAAGATGGGGAGACCAGCCAGTACCAGCATAATGACGTATGGGATGAGGAAGGAGGCTGAAAGGAACGAAGAAAAAGTATCCTAATGAATAAATGAATGAATGAATGAATGAATGAATGAATGTCGTTAAACCAAAATTAATCAATCTCTGGCGCCTGTCATGATTTATTTGGTTCTACTATTGTAAACAATGTATTGACAGTCATGGGTAATCACCGGAGACTTTCAATACTTAATACGCTTTATTGATCAGTGATACCGTATTGGAAAGTGGAAATATGTTACACAATGTGCGCTCACTATATACACAATTATAACCCTACTGGTTATCAACAACCGCTAAAAGCACAATATCCGCACGGTAATAGAAGCATTATAATTGCATTTGATATTCCGGTTACGTTATCCGTTCATTGGGATATGTTTCATATGGAAATGGTGTGTGAAATATTGATGATTGACTGCAACAATAGCTGCTTTATACGAAGTCCTTCCTGTGGACCCGTCAAGAGGCAGCCCCGCTGGGACGAGGGTGTGTGTAGCAAACTTAGAGATACAGCTTGAATCAGCAGTCGAGAAACAAGTCCAGTCATACATCTGTCTCCCAACACAGTCTGTTGACTGGTACCCAACTTCCCCATATTGGTAACCCCAACCCCTACACCACCATCCCCTATCCGTGTCGGTAACCACATGTCACCCGAGACTGACCCTCCCCGCCCCTTCCCCCGTCGATACCCACCACCCACATGTTTGCAGGCGAGATAGGGGAATCTCTACATGTTGCCCAGCACCACAACGTTGCCAATACAGCACACCCAACCCCCACCACAACCCCCCACCTACAACAAACAACACCCACCACCAGCCCCATCTACAACAAACAACCCCCACCACAACCCACAACCCACAACCTACAACAAACAACACCCACCACAACCCCCCACCTACAACAAACAACCCCCACCACAACCCACAACCTACAACAAACAACCCCCACAACAACCCACAACCTACAACAAACAACCCCCACCACAACCCACAACCTACAACAAACAACCACCACAACCCACAACCTTCAACAAACAACCCCCACAACAACCCACAACCTACAACAAACAACCACCACAACCCACAACCTTCAACAAACAACCCCCACCACAACCCACAACCTACAACAAACAACCCCCACCACAACCCACAACATTCAACAAACAACCCCCACCACAACCCACAACCTACAACAAACAACCCCCACAACAACCCACAACCTACAACAAACAACCCCCACCACAACCCACAACCTACAACAAACAACCACCACAACCCACAACCTTCAACAAACAACCCCCACCACAACCCACAACCTACAACAAACAACCCCCACCACAACCCACAACATTCAACAAACAACCCCCACCACAACCCACAACCTACAACAAACAACCCCCACCACAACCCACAACCTACAACAAACAACCCCCACCACAACCCACAACCTACAACAAACAACCCCCACCACAACCCACAACATTCAACAAACAACCCCCACCACAACCCACAACCTACAACAAACAACCCCCACAACAACCCACAACCTACAACAAACAACCACCACAACCCACAACCTTCAACAAACAACCCCCACAACAACCCACAACCTACAACAAACAACCACCACAACCCCCCACCTAAAACAAACAACCCCCACCACAACCCACAACCTACAACAAACAACCACCACAACCCACAACCTACAACAAACAACACCCACCACAACCCCCACCTACAACAAACAACACCCACCAAAACCCACAACCTACAACAAACAACCACCACAACCCACAACCTTCAACAAACAACCCCCACAACAACCCACAACCTACAACAAACAACCCCCACCACAACCCACAACCTACAACAAACAACCCCCACTACAACCCACAACCTACAACAAACAACCCCCACCACAACCCACAACCTACAACAACAAAAAACCCACAACAACCCACAACCTACAACAAACAACCACCACAACCCACAACCTACAACAAACAACCCCCACAACAACCCACAACCTACAACAAACAACCACCACAACCCCCCACCTAAAACAAACAACCCCCACCACAACCCACAACCTACAACAAACAACCACCACAACCCACAACCTACAACAAACAACCCCAACCACAACCCACAACCTACAACAAACAACCCCCACCACAACCCACAACCTACAACAAACACCAGCACAACCCACAATCTACAACAAACACCAGCACAACCCACAACCTACAACAAACACCAGCACCACAATGCACAACTCACAACCAACACCCCACACCCCACACCCCACACCCCACACCCCACACCCCACACCCCACACCCCACACATCACACATCACACCCCACACCCCACATCCCACACCCCACACCCCACACCCCACACCCCACACCCCACACATCAAAACCCACAAACAATAAACAACACCCCTAAGCCCAAAACCCACAACCCACAAGCCCACGTCGGTACCCACCTCCCCCATGTTTGTAGGCGAGATAGGGGAATCTCCAGACGTTTCCCAGCCCCACAGCGTAGCCAATACAGGACAGCAGGAAGTCCAGTCTGCCGGACCAGCCCCCTCGATCCTCGACATCAACCTAGAGGGGCAAAGAAACATTAGATTAGTGTGTGATAAGATTAGATTGGATTAGCTGAGGGTTCAATGACCAACTATCACTTCGTCACCACGTCTTGGCAGAACAGGCAGACATAGGGTAACTACGCCCAATAAAGACCGGTATTTGCGTACTTTGAATCTCCGAAACCGGTTCCTGACAGTGACGTCATCAGCGACGAATGCCTTAGGACATATGATTAGTCGACAGGAGCTCAAGGTAGTAGGGCTTACAGACCTTATCGATAACAGTTACTGACACCGCACCATCGTCGTCAGAGACTGAGAAGTGCCGGACTGTACGTCGTTGGCATTGACGTGACTGACGGATAGTCGTCTTCATTGACGAAAGCCGGTGAAAGAGCTAATGGAAGACAGCGTGTTTTTCGCCGAATTGGAGAAGGAACGGCGGCACGTTGCGTTCAGGAAGTCGTGCGGTATGATTGCGTTCAGGAAGTCGTGCGGTATGATGGGGGTGGGGGGGGGTGGGGGGGGGGGGGTGGGGGTAGAGTGTAGGAAGGAATTTTGGGGCAGGAGAGAACACCAATGTTCATCGTTAACGGAAATTTAACGGTGTTTCGTCCGATTGTCCTTCTATTTCTACAACAGCTGCCACGTGGTGTCCTTTATCAGCCTAACATCGCCAGACACCATTCAGACCGAATCGTACAGCATTTCCTTCTAGCGTTTTTTATGCGTGTGCCCTTTTCCATTTTGTTGACAGCTTGTTCTTGCTACCCCGCCTCAATTCGGACAACTGCCATGCCAATATCGGATGTTTTATGACTGTCATTTTATATGCTGTTTTCGTTGATATTTTGATCTTTCCAATAGATTTTACTTCATGCAACTATCTTTTGTGGTTTTTAAACTCGAGTGATTGAAAACTAGGGCAAACTGTCGTTTGGTTGGCAGTTTAAATATAATTTGTTATTAACATTTTATTATCAGAAGTGAAGAGGAACTGTTTGTTATGTCGAAAATCGGACTTAGAAACTCAATGATGTAAACAATGATTGACTGTGACGTCAACGATGACGTGAACAATGACGTAGGCAGAATGACATCATTATAACACATGATGAAGTAAGGTTTTTATTGGAACATAGTTTCACCAGTAAGACAGTAGTAGCAGTAGTTTGTTAGTTTGTTTGTATGTTGTTTAACGACGCACTCAACAATAATCCAGCCATATGACGGCGGCCTGTATAAAGTCGAGTCTGGACAAGAAAATCCAGTGACTTACATCATGAGCAATGATCCACGCAATTTGGATACGACGACAAGCATCAACTGCAAGCATGGGTTGCTGAAGGTCTTCACGGGTCAGTAGTAGTAGTAGTAGTAGTAGTAGTAGCAGTAGTAGCAGCAGCAGCAGCAGCAGCAGTAGTAGTAGTAGTAGTAGTAGTAGCAGCAGTAGTAGCAGCAGCAGCAGCAGCAGCAGTAGTAGTAGTAGTAGTAGTAGTAGTAGTAGTAGTAGTAGTAGTAGTAGTGATATGGCATACCTCTATTAATATTATTTGGCATAATCGAAATTCGATATCTTCAGGATTCACAGTGACTAATATCATCATGTTATCAAGGTTTGATAAGGTTTAGCTGTGCATGCTTAGCGAACGTTGTCTTCTACCCGGGATCTTGTTTTAAGAAGGTTTCACTATATGATGTTTCTTATTATGTTATCTTGGTTAGATTTAATAAGGACTCACCATATTTTAATCATACAGAAGGTGAATATCACTTTTTACTTGTTTATCCATTTTATGTCGATATAACAAAACAATTCTAAATGATTATTATTTCCTCTCAAGTGTATACGTTTTACTTACTAATGGAAACTAAACATACTGTCACAATTTTGAAAATGTCAATGTCCATATTCATGTAATGAATCATACTCCACATTATGACGATTATTATCATGTGATCGAAGTTATAATATTGAATACAATTCCTTATTACTACCCCTGTTGATTCCGCCACATCTTATGGTCGTTCACATTTTGGATGGCCTTGTAAAGTACGTCGTCAACGCTCCATCGTGTTAATATCTCGTCAAACCAGGTTTAATTTCTGAATGCCCCCGGTCAGCAATGTGTGTCACCCACTTGTTGCAACCTATATTGAAGACTTCTTACTGCTACAAAGCCGGGTTGACAAAGCAGTGGAAATTTTCCATCGTGTCGAGCTCACTGGTGTATTTGACTAGCCAACACAAATGCCGAATAAAAGCCTGCTCAACACGGATCGACCTAGATCGACCTACTTTGACGGAGATTAACGTTTTCCTTGGTGTTGCTGTGACATGATCGGTAAAGGGTTTGTGGGGGTACACTGGCTGTAGTAGAACCTTCACACAGAGGTGCTTATACACATGTACTGTTACAGGATGCAGTAGAACTACCTACACACAGGTGCTTAAACACATGTACTGTTGTTGGGTGGAGAGGGACTACCTTCACACAGAGGTGCTTAAACACATGTACTGTTGTTGGGTGGAGAGGGACTACCTTCACACAGGTGCTTAAACACATGTACTGCTGTTGTTGCAGAAGGACTACCTTCACACAGAGGTGCTTATACACATGTACTGTTACAGGATGCAGTAGAACTACCTACACACAGGTGCTTAAACACATGTACTGTTGTTGGGTGGAGAGGGACTACCTTCACACAGATGTGCTTAAACACATGTACTGTTGTTGGGTGGAGAGGGACTACCTTCACACAGGTGCTTAAACACATGTACTGCTGTTGTTGCAGAAGGACTACCTTCACACAGAGGTGCTTATACACATGTACTGTTACAGGATGCAGTAGAACTACCTACACACAGGTGCTTAAACACATGTACTGTTGTTGGGTGGAGAGGGACTACCTTCACACAGAGGTGCTTAAACACATGTACTGTTGTTGGGTGGAGAGGGACTACCTTCACACAGGTGCTTAAACACATGTACCGCTGTTGTTGCAGAAGGACTACCTTCACACAGGTGCTTAAACACATTTACTGCTGTTGGGTGCAGAAGGACTACCCTCACACAGGTGCTTATACACATTTACTGTTGTTGGGTGGAGAAGGACTACCTTCACACAGGTGCTTAAACACATTTACTGCTGTTGGGTGCAGAAGGACTACCTTCACACAGGTGCTTAAACACATTTACTGCTGTTGGGTGGAGAGGGACTACCTTCACACAGGTGCTTAAACACATTTACTGCTGTTGGGTGGAGAGGGACTACCTTCACACAGGTGCTTAAACACATGTACTGCTGTTGTTGCAGAAGGACTACCTTCACACAGGTGCTTAAACACATGTACTGCTGTTGGGTGCAGGAAGACTAGCTTCACACAGGTGCTTAAACACATGTACTGTTGTTGGGTGCAGAAGGACTACCTACACACAGGTGCTTATACACATGTACTGTTGTTGGGTGCAGAAGGACTACCCTCACACAGGTGCTTATACACATGGACTGTTATAGGATGCAGTAGAACTACCTACACACAGGTGCTTATACACATGGACTGTTATAGGATGCAGTAGAACTACATAAACACAGCTACTTATACACATGGACTGTTATAGGATGCAGTAGAACTACCTTCACACAGGTGCTTATACACATGGACTGTTATAGGATGCAGTAGAACTACCTTCACACAGGTGCTTATACACATGGACTGTTATAGGATGCAGTAGAACTAACTACACACAGCTACTTAAACACATGGACTGTTAAAGGATGCATTAGAACTAACTACACACAGCTACTTATACACATGGACTGTTATAGGATGCAGTAGAACTACCTACACACAGCTACTTATACACATGGACTGTTATAGGATGCAGTAGAACTACCTACACACAGGTGCTTATACACATGGACTGTTATAGGATGCAGTAGAACTACCTTCACACAGCTACTTATACACATGGACTGGTATAGGATGCAGTAGAACTACCTACACACAGCTACTTATACACATGGACTGTTATAGGATGCAGTAGAACTACCTTCACACAGTTGCTTATACACATGGACTGTTATAGGATGCAGTAGAACAACCTTCACACAGGTGCTTATACACATGGACTGGTATAGGATGCAGTAGAACTACCTTCACACATGTGCTTATACACATGTACTGTTACAGGATGCAGTAGAACTACCTTCACACAGGTGCTTATACACATGGACTGTTATAGGATGCAGTAGAACTACCTACACACAGGTGCTTATACACATGTACCGTTATAGGATGCAGTAGAACTACCTACACACAGGTGCTTATACACATGGACTGTTATAGGATGCAGTAGAACTACCTACACACAGCTACTTATACACATGGGCTGTTATAGGATGCAGTAGAACTATCTTCACACAGCTACTTATACACATGAACTGTTATAGGATGCAGTAGAACTACCTTCACACAGGTGCTTATACAAATGGACTGTTATAGGATGCAGTAGAACTACCTTCACACAGCTACTTATACACATGGACTGTTATAAGATGCAGTAGAACTACCTTCACACAGCTACTTATACACATGGGCTGTTATAGGATGCAGTAGAACTACCTTCACACAGCTACTTATAAACATGGACTGTTATAGGATGCAGTAGAACTACCTTCACACAGCTACTTATACACATGGACTGTTATAGGATGCAGTTGAACTACCTTCACACAGCTACTTATACACATGGACTGTTATAGGATGCAGTAGAACTACCTTCACACAGCTACTTATACACATGGACTGTTATAGGATGCAGTAGAACTACCTTCACACAGCTACTTATACACATGGGCTGTTATAGGATGCAGTAGAACTACCTTCACACAGCTACTTATACACATGGACTGTTATAGGATGCAGTAGAACTACCTTCACACAGCTACTTATACACATGGGCTGTTATAGGATGCAGTAGAACTACCTTCACACAGCTACTTATACACATG